TGGGCCAGCTCTCGGTGCAGAACGCTCCCTCCTCCAGCGAGTCCAGCGTCAAGCAGCCGGGGATGAAATACCGGTAGGAGCTCAGGGCCGGGGGGGTTTAGAAGCTCGGGTGTCCTGCGCTCCCCCGGTCCCATCCTGCTCCGTCGGTGTTTCAGCGCTGAAAGTGCTGACCGTGCATCTCTGTCCTCACTGTTTGCTCCTGTCCCTGCTCTGATCCAGCCTCGCATGAAACCGGTGGGATGGGACCCTAAAATCTGGGGTAGGATTAGCAGGATCCCTGGCGCCTGCCGAGCCGGGGGGGGGTCGCAGAGTCGTGGCAGGGGGTAATTAGCGGGCACACGGTCCTGACTGCACTGCCCGGCCAAGTGTGCATGGAGCTGTCAGCCAGGATTTGTCCCCTAGCTGCCACGATGGGGCTGGGGGGGGTCGCAGAGTCGTGGCAGGGGGTAATTAGCGGGCACACGGTCCTGACTGCACTGCCCGGCCAAGTGTGCATGGAGCTGTCAGCCAGGATTTGTCCCCTAGCTGCCACGATGGGTCTGGAAATGAAGGGGTGGTATGTGCACTCTGTGCCCCCCCGGCCAGCACTCATGGGGTTAACATGCTCCATGTCCCAGGAACTGGAGCAGAGTGATTGGGGCTGCCCCCCCGCCATGAGTGTGCACCCAGGCGTGGGGCTGGGGGCTCCCCAGGGACGAGGGTGCACCCAGGCATGGGGCTGGGGGCTCCCCAGGGATGAGGGTGCACCCAGGCGTGGGGCTGGGGGCTCCCCAGGATGGGGCACACACCACGGTGCAGCCGAGAGCTGCTGCGTGCTGTGATATGGCCGCTGCTGGGCGTGCTAGGTCAGCAGAGCACCAGGATGGGCCCTGTCCTCACCCACCATCTCCCCTCAGCTCAGCCGAGTCCCCTCACCTAGGTGCTGGGAGACCAGCTGAGGGGTCCCGGTGGCAGTGCAGGGAGGGGGGGCAGTGGCCATGGTCAGAGCAGAGCCTCCCCCAGAGTCTGCAGGTATCTCGGGCAGGCAGCCCGGCAGGGCACTGTGGGGCAGGACAGCTGGCAGTGGCACTGTGCTGCCAGCCCCCCAGGACCCTCCATGGCCAAGATGAAGCTGGTGTCATCCCCGCCATCATGCCCCATGGCCACAGCCTCTCCCCACCACCAAAAGCTCCAAAGACGCCCACCCCGGATGAGGGTGCACCCAGGCATGGGGCTGGGGGCTCCCTAGGGATGAGGGTGCACCCAGGCATGGGGCTGGGGGCTCCCTAGGGATGAGGGTGCACCCAGGCATGGGGCTGGGGGCTCCCTAGGGATGAGGGTGCACCCAGGCATGGGGCTGGGGGCTCCCTAGGGATGAGGGTGCACCCAGGCATGGGGCTGGGGGCTCCCTAGGGATGAGGGTGCACCCAGGCATGGGGCTGGGGGCTCCCTAGGGATGAGGGTGCACCCAGGCATGGGGCTGGGGGCTCCCTAGGGATGAGGGTGCACCCAGGCATGGGGCTGGGGGCTCCCTAGGGATGAGGGTGCACCCAGGCATGGGGCTGGGGGCTCCCTAGGGATGAGGGTGCACCCAGGCATGGGGCTGGGGGCTCCCTAGGGATGAGGGTGCACCCAGGCATGGGGCTGGGGGCTCCCTAGGGATGAGGGTGCACCCAGGCATGGGGCTGGGGGCTCCCTAGGGATGAGGGTGCACCCAGGCATGGGGCTGGGGGCTCCCTAGGGATGAGGGTGCACCCAGGCATGGGGCTGGGGGCTCCCTAGGGATGAGGGTGCACCCAGGCATGGGGCTGGGGGCTCCCTAGGGATGAGGGTGCACCCAGGCATGGGGCTGGGGGCTCCCTAGGGATGAGGGTGCACCCAGGCATGGGGCTGGGGGCTCCCTAGGGATGAGGGTGCACCCAGGCATGGGGCTGGGGGCTCCCTAGGGATGAGGGTGCACCCAGGCATGGGGCTGGGGGCTCCCTAGGGATGAGGGTGCACCCAGGCATGGGGCTGGGGGCTCCCTAGGGATGAGGGTGCACCCAGGCATGGGGCTGGGGGCTCCCTAGGGATGAGGGTGCACCCAGGCATGGGGCTGGGGGCTCCCTAGGGATGAGGGTGCACCCAGGCATGGGGCTGGGGGCTCCCTAGGGATGAGGGTGCACCCAGGCATGGGGCTGGGGGCTCCCTAGGGATGAGGGTGCACCCAGGCGTGGGGCTGGGGGCTCCCTAGGGATGAGGGTGCACCCAGGCATGGGGCTGGGGGCTCCCCAGGATGGGGCACACACCACGGTGCAGCCGAGAGCTGCTGCATGCTGTGACATGGCCGCTGCTGGGCGTGCTAGGTCAGCAGAGCACCAGGATGGGCCCTGTCCTCACCCACCATCTCCCCTCAGCTCAGCCGAGTCCCCTCACCTAGGTGCTGGGAGACCAGCTGAGGGGTCCCGGTGGCAGTGCAGGGAGGGGGGGGCAGTGGCCATGGTCAGAGCAGAGCCTCCCCCAGAGTCTGCAGGTATCTCGGGCAGGCAGCCCGGCAGGGCACTGCGGGGCAGGACAGCTGGCAGTGGCACTGTGCTGCCAGCCCCCCAGGACCCTCCATGGCCAGGATGAAGCTGGTGTCATCCCCGCCATCATGCCCCATGGCCACAGCCTCTCCCCACCACCAAAAGCTCCAAAGACGCCCAACCCCTCCCAGGTGCTGGGCGATGCAGCACGGAGGGGAGATGCCCCATCTTGCCCTCAGACCCCAGCCATGCCCGTGCCCGTGGTTCTGTGCCGCGCTGCTGGTGGTGCCTCCCGGTTGCTACGCGACACGGGCAAGCTGCCGTGGCTCACCTACACTTTATTTATTTTAACACTCCTTCCTCGAGCCTTTGTCATTTCTGACAAGGAACGGGCTCGCCATCCCCGCGGCAAAGGCGGCTGCCAGCCCAGCCCCCTCCCCAAAGCTGTTCTCCAGCTCCTTGTGCTGGACACATTTTTCCAGGATGCTCCATTTCTCCAGGACCCCAGCACTCTATGCCAATGCAAGCCCTGAGCTCCCCTGTGCCATACTGCAGAGAACAGGCACAGCTCATGCCACGTGTAAAACATCCTGGGCCAAACTGCTGGCATACCATCTCTCCCTTCTCACCCCCCCATCCCACAGCACTACCAGGGGTTCCAAACCCCCCAGCCCTCTCACAGGGAGCCGCTTTGCCCAGGTCACTGCCCACTGCCACTGCCCTGTGGGCACAGCAGTTATTCTGCGTGCCAGAATCAGCATCGATGCACCTGTGCTGGCTGCGCTGCCAGCGAGCGCGGTGCGCCTGGCCTGGGATGGCTTTTTAATCCATTGTGGGATTAAAAATAAAATAATGAAATTAAATAAGCAGTCGTGGGATTAACCTTGCTGCAGGACCATCCCAGGTGGGCATGAGGATGGAGATGAGGGACCAGGGATGGAAATGAGGGACCTGGGATGGAGATCAGATCAGGGATGCAGATGGGAACTGGGGTGTGGCCAGGGATGGGAATGAGGATGGAGACCAGTGGTGGGATCAGGAATGGAGATGGAAACCTGGGATGGGATAAGGGACAGGGATGGGGACTGGCCCTGGGGACCACGACTCACCGGTAGGCATGTTGGGGCTCGCTGGCCACTTCCCTGATGAGTCTCTATCTTCCAGGAACCTTGGGAAGTCTGGGCTGCGTGTGTCCTGCCTTGGTCTGGGTAAGTGCCAGGCTTTGCCACGGCCCCTCAGTGGCTCCTCCATCCTTTCTCTCACTCCGGTGATGCTTTGCCAAGGGAAGGAAAGGGTTTTCCTCTGGCCCAGTGGAGGTTTTGAGATGTGGCCCAGGATCTGTCAAATTATTTTCCCTTTTCCTTCTCTGCTGTGATAGGAAGCGACCAGGCTGTGCTGGGAGCACCACGCTGCACGTGGCAGGGCCAGCCGTGACCTCCACATGCCAGGGCTGTGCTGGGGTGGGAGGGCTGGGGCAGCAGCATTTGGTGCTCACCACATTCACCACACATGCACTCTCTCCTCCACAGGGACATGGGTGACTTTCGGAGGACAAATCACAGACGAGGTAAGGGTCACATCTTGTCCCTCCCTGGTGAAGCGGGGACAGGATGGGGTGACACAGCTGCGGGTGCTGGTCTCTGTGCCCGTGGTGTGCTGGAGCTACCATCACTCGTCTGCATGCTCCAGCACTCACCCCCCCCTCACCAACCCTCCCTGCTCTCCCCTCACAGATGGCAGAGCAGCTGATGACTTTAGCTTACGACAACGGCATTAATCTCTTCGACACAGCAGAAGTCTATGCTGCTGGCAAGTAGGTACCCGGCTTCAGCAGTGGCACAAGGGGCCTCACCCTGTGCCCTGGCCTCTGGCACCAATGAGCTGTGGCAGTACTGGGAGTCTCCTAGGTTTGCCAGCTGCAAAGCAGCTGCTGGGACGGGGCTGCCAGGGTTTGCCCATGGGGATGACAGATCATGTGGTCCCACGCTGCCTGTGCCTGCCTGCACCACGGCAGGCATAGCCATGCACCCTCCCCAGGACGGTGAGCCATGGCTGCCCAGGCCTGGAGGCACTGCAGAGTGCCCACGTGTCCACTTAAAAATAGCAAACTAGCATGTCGGGGAGCAGCTCGGCTCAGCACCAGAGGGGAACCATGTCCCCACAGCCACCACGTTTGCCTCCTGGTCTACCAGGGAGCGGGGCTGGCTCTGACAGCTGCCACTGCTCTCCATGGCCACAGCGGACAACAGCTGATATTCCCTTCCCTTGCAGGGCTGAGGTGGTGCTGGGGAACATCATCAAGAAGAAGGGGTGGAGGTAAGCCAGGCTTCAGCTTTGGCCCTCCATGGCAAAGCCATCACCATCATGCCATGGGCTGGGGAAAGCTGGCAGAGGTGGATGGGTGGGCAGGGAACAGGCAGGGCACATGGGGCTTTGTAGTGCCACCACTGGTGATACTCTCTCTCTCTCCCTGCAGACGGTCCAGCCTGGTCATCACCACCAAAATCTTCTGGGGAGGAAAGTAGGTAGCACCCACCCCAGAGCAGAGTGCCAGACTGCACTGAGCTCTCACTCACCTTTCCTTTTCCAGGGCTGAGACGGAGAGGGGTCTGTCCCGAAAGCACATCATCGAAGGTAGGGACGGCAGGATGTAGGAATGGTGGGATGGCAGGATGCTGGCCAGGCGCTGCAAGGCTGTGCCCGCCCCAGCTGCCACGGTGGCTGGTGGCACCGGGCCTGGTGCAGCTGATGGTGCCCTTGGTGTGGCAGGTCTGAAGGCATCGCTGGAGCGGCTGCAGCTGGAGTATGTGGATGTGGTATTTGCCAACCGGCCCGACCCCAACACGCCAATGGAAGGTGGGTGCCACTCTCCTCCCTGACACCCTCATCGCCATCATGGTTGGTTTGTGCCAGGCTTTTAATTCAAGGGCGTTCTCCCTTCCCAAGCAGAAAGGGCCCCTCTGTCCCCACGGGCAGCCCACACCACAGTTAAGCCTCTGCCGACCCCCGCTGGGCCGTGGTGGGGGCAGGTGGTGGGCGGCGGTGGGTCTCTGCCCCACCCCGGTGAGCTGCTCGCTGCGCTCCGCCGGCAGCGGCCGACTCCGCTTCTCTCTCAATCTCTTTTATCACCAGGGGACCCATTTAGTTCCTCCAAGTCCCGGACTTTCATCATGGAAGGTACTCCCTGCCGCATTGCCCGGCGGCACCACCTGGCTCCCAGTGGCCCTTCCCAGGGCAGAGCCCCTACCTCTCCGAGATGTCCACCCTTGTGCCCCCTCTCTCCCCAGCAAACCCTGCACAGTCAGCAGCAGCACCACAAACACTCCCCAGCTGTTGCGCGGTGAAAAGGGAGATTAGCAAAGAGGCTCTCCAGGGTCCTTGCCATGGGCACCCTCGGCAGCCGTGGCAGGGTCCCTGCTCGGCAGGGCAGCGGTCAGCGTGCCAGGGACACGCTCCGCTCCGGCCCAGCAATCCCGTGCCCGCT